ACCATTCACTCAACCCAGGACACCTACCCACAGAAACCTTTAACATAAGAAATGAAAAGCTGCTTACTGCAGCCACAAATGAGTACAGCTTGTTTTCTTCTTAGGAACTCCCTGCCCTGCTCCTCAGTGCTCTGCTGATACCACTAACTTTCATAATAGATGACCTAATAGAATTTGCCATACACATGTTTACTTTCACCAGACATTAGCCTACAAACACGTAACATCTCAAAACATGAAAAAACAGTAATAATGAAATAGCACTTACTGTAATCACAGCCTTGCTCAGACAGATAGAACCTCTGCAGCCATACTCTGTTTCGTCTTCAGACTTGTAATAACTGAGTGCATTGCTTTTCAGAACTACCCATCGATCCTGCCACCCATGAATGTAGTTGGTCCACTGTAAAAAAAACAAAAAAAAAAACAAAAAAAAAACAACGATAAAAGTCAATAGGGCTGATATTTCTCAGGCATTCAAGCACCAGGAGAAAAAAAAGCAACTTATTTTTAAAAGTTCTTATCAACTGAGAACTTTGTTCTTCTCAGAAGTCCTAAAATAATTTTACAAACTCCTAAAGGTACCAAAAAGCAGTTGTTTCAAATGAACAATAAGGTAACAAGTCTTGACCGCAACTGCATTGCCAAGGCCAGTTAAGATAAAGGTAATAAACATGCTGATGACAAATTGAGGAAGGAGGGGAGAGAGAAAATGAAGCATTAATCACTAAGGTGAGTTTAGCCACCTGATTTAAAAACTGGAGTTGGACCAAAAGCCAAACTTAAGTGGAACATGCAAAAATTTATTTTATATAAGTTAATTTCTACAAAAATAATTTTACTGTAGTATCTAGTCCTCTTCATATAAATGCAAACATGTCGTTATCCCACAGTACAGTATGTAATTATTGTAGTAACTACAGTAATCAGTTCTTTATGAAGTTAATATTGGCCATAGATACTGCTTTAGGTTTTAATTCCTAACCAGTTTCTCATTAAGAAGATACTGGCATATCAGCAGACACCCAATCATCAGTTTGCTATTCAGATTTTTCTAGGGACTCCACATTAACACATGGAATGAAACCAAATATTCCAGGAACAAGACCTGGATTCATTCTGCAGAGATCTAGTAAGAATTGACTAAACTCTGGTTATTAATCTTACATTTGCAACATCTTTCTAACTGCACTTTGTATAATCATATGACACTGATAGAGCTTTGGGACTGTTCTGTAACTCTGTATACACTGGTGATTGGTCTTGAATCACAGTGCAAAAATTAAAAATTAGATAAAAATTGAAATAAAAGCACTGGAAATTATTTTATCATGCAAGAATTTCTTTGATCATGACAACTGTTATTTGACATAAAGCTCTGAGAAATAATCTCTTTTTAGCATTTAGGTCTAACCACTATTCATCATTTTGTAATATATAAGTGGGGTGAAAGAAAGTCAACTAACAGGCTCATTTCTACAGTATACTACATGTATTAGTTAATATATGTCCCATGACTACGTTAACTCTAGTAATAACAAGAGGAGGTCTAAGGAAAACAAATTCTATAGCTGAGAAATTATGAACAATTTTCAAGCGTAAGACCTTGATTCCTCTCCAAAGATAAAGCCCTTTTTGATATCTTAATACATCAAGTTGCTAAGTTCAGTATTTCCTAAAGAAAGACTCAACAGTATACGAACTGGTAGCACAAGCCGTTGTGGAGGTATATTATTTCCCGCATTCCTCTTTTCCCATCTCTTATGTTCCCAGCTCCTCCCAGTCGTGACAGGCAGAGTCCAAAGTTATCTTGGGCAAAACAGCAAGGGACAGGGAAGAAAGCACCTCTCCTCCTTTGACAGCTAAGTGAGATAAATACAGCAGTCAATCTTGCGTTTGCTGTTGCAATCAATGCTTGCTGTTGCAATCAGAATGTGCCATGAATTAAGAGACTCCTTAAAGTATACTGGGTAGGCACAAGGTTTTGGCAAAGACAAGACTCTGTTTTTTCAAGCACCGGGATTCTTGTGCTTCAAGAAAGACTATTCTGCACTGAAGCCCTCTCTTTCCATCCACCTTAAAATTGTTTGCAGGAAATACAAAGGAATAAAAGGCTAGCGTTCTGAAACATTTAAAGAGACCAGCAGGACATACTTCTATTAAGCTTCTCTTAACAAATTACTCCGTTTCCTTCAAAGCTTCTCTCTTTACTGAAGGACACAAAAACTGAAACACTAACAAGCACACAGAGAACTGCAGCCTACTTTTATGGCTTTAGAATTTAATTATACACAATAAGTTACTAAAAATAGATATTTCCTTAGTAGAAAGTTTGGTATGCTACCATTTCATTTTAATTAGTTTGTCTCAAGTATTACCACCGAGGCATCAACTAACAAAAGGTAAATTTATCCCTCAAGCATATTCACTGCAACAGCTTTCACCATACTTGACTATTCGGATTACATTCCATGTTCTCACAGGAAAGGCAGAGTCAGCTACAGTCAGCATAATCACCCAGAAAGTTTGCACATACCTAAGCTACAGAGCATCAGAAGCCATGGCTTCACCTGCTACACCAATAAGAAACAGTACCTGGACTTAATAAAGTATTTAATTTGCCAACATAAAAAAATCAATTATATCTCATAAATTACATCCCTTCTAATGCTGGAGGCATCTAATCAAAGAAAAACTTTCCAATGGAAAAAAAAATCCAATAAAATGACTCTAAACCAAACCCTCAGGTCTTAACTGCTGTAACATCTCACATTCATCTCATCCTCTTCCTCCCCCATGCACTATTAGATAACAAGATCTTACAAATGAAAGCTGAAACCCTTCTTTTCCCCTAACTGCTCCTCTCATCTCTGGGGTTAGAAACATCTTCAGGCTGGAAGGCGTTCACCAAGTCCCTCACAAAAAGCAGGGCCCTAGCCCCATTATGGCTTTTTTTTCCTCACTATCCAGGACTGGTTTATGATCTCTGTATCCTGTGACCTGTGCCTCCCATGTTGGCTTGTGTCCAGTCTTATGGTGTAGGGCAGGAAAAAAATTCAAAACATAGTGCTTTAATGCTAAAGATTACAACATTATTCTGAAGATACCTTCTGTAATAATAAAATCTCCGTTCCAACTTAGTAATTCAATATTCAATGTTAAAGTACTCCTAAAAATAAAATCTCCCAGTATCACCCGACGCATACTTGCAAGTCATCTTATTTCCACTGATAAAAGAGCAGAAAATTCTGTTTATTTTTAAAAAGGGGAAAAACGCTTTTGGGCCAGTTTCCTTTCCCTCCTCCCCGTCTCCCCTATCTCTTGCTGCAGGAGTATTTTACTGCTCTGTTTCGAGACTTGCACTGACGGTTGTGCCACTCCTGGGGAGCGACCACGGGCCGCCCCTGGCTTCGGAAGCTCCCGGGAGGCGAGCGGCGCTCCGCGGCCCCAGCCCGCCCCCGGGCCCGCCGCCGGCGGCTCCGGCCAGCGGCCTGACGAGCCGGGGAGACGCCCTCCCTCGCCGCCTCCTCCGGGGCCCAGCCGTCCGGAACCTGACGCCAGGCAGCCAGAGGGCCCGGGGCGGGGGGGGACCCCCGGGCCGGGCGGTAGCGACGTCCCCGCCGCCCGGCCAGAAGCCGCGCCCGCCGCTCTGCCCGAAGAAGGGCTTCCTCCCGTGGCGGGGAGGGTCGGGCGGCAGCTGCGCAGAGGTGGGGGGCCCGGCGGCGGGGATCCGCCGGTGCCCGCGGCGGAGGGAGGGGGGGCGCCGGCGGTTGGCGCCGGGCGTCGCGGCGGCTGCCGAGCCGGCTCCCCGCCGTCAGGTGGCGGCTGCCCCAGCCGTGCCAGCGCCTCCCGCGGAGCCGCCCGGCCCCCTCACCAGGCCCCTCCACCGGCGCCTCGGCCTGATCCTCCGCACCGAGCTGGAGACGGGCGGCGGGGGGCTGACAGCCTCCGGCCCGCCGAGAAGAAGGGATGGGGCGGGGGGGGGGGGGGGGGGGGGCGAAGTACGGAGAGGAGAAGCGAGAGGCCGTGGGGCGCGGGCAGCGAGAAGGAGGAGAGGCGGCTTACCTTGCTGAGCACGCCGCAGAGCTCAACAGGCAGCCCGGGCTCGGTCTCGGGGTCCTCCTCGGAACCGGAGGAATTCCAGCTCTGGTTGTCCGACATGGAGACCCGAGCCGCAGCCACCGCCGAGCAGGGAAGAGCTGAAGCGGTCCCCGCCCACAGCAGCCTCCGCCGCCTCCTGCCGAAGGGACGGGAGCGGCGGGCTCTACCTGAGCGGCAACCGCTCCGCGGCTGCCACCAGCGCCGCCCGCCCCTTCCAGCGACGCGGCACGCAGGCTCGGGCTTCCCCCTCGCCGTAGCTCCGCAGCCTCCGCCCGCGTCAGGAGGCACAACACAGCGGCAGCGAGGGGAAAAAGGGAGGAGCGAGAAGACGCCCGCCTACCGCGCGCTGCTCAGAGCCCCACCGCCATCTTAACCGAGGCCGGTGCCGCTATTTACCAGCTCCGCCCCCCACCTGCCCTCTCCGCCCCACCGGCCGGGAGTTGTAGTCTTGGCCCGCGCAACGGGAAGCCCGGCTGCCGTTGCCCCCCGGGAGCGGTAGTTTCTGGTGCTCGCTGGCGCCGCTCGGCGCGCTGGGAGATGTAGTCCGCCCCGGCCGCCGGCTCCCTCCCGGAGGGAGGCGGCCGCCATCTTGGTTTTGTCGTTTCTGTGGCGCCACGGGCGGCGGGTTTCGCCTCCGCGCCCCCGGTGAGGTGGGAAACTCTGCGGCCCTTGGGCGAGGGCAGGGGTGCTGCTTGGGGAGACGTTCGCTTTGCTTTTTGTGCGGTGAGGGAGGGCTCTTTCTTTAGTGAGGCGAAGCGTCTCTCCGGCCCCGCTTGCTTTCTAGCGTGAGAGATGTTCCCTCGTCTTCCCTGCCGCAGAGCGGCGGGACTCGAGGGGTGACAGCCAAGCTTTTCCCTTGACAAAAATGGTGGCCGCGGAGGCCGCAGGAAGGGGCGGGAGGTGCTGCCGGCGCCCGGGTGAAGCGGGCGGCGAAGGGCGGGCCGTCCCGCCATAGCTAATGGCTCTCTGGCGGGCCGCACCGCCGCTCCCCGGGGACAAGAGACCGCCGCGGCCCTCGCCCCGCGGGTGGCCGTGATCGCGGCTAGGCGCGGCCGCGGGTGGGCTCGGCAGTCCGCTGCTTCCCGGACGACGGGGCGCCTTTGCGCCGCCCGCTTTCCTTTTGCTTCACTGGCTGTGCCCAGAGGCGTGGGGTGAGCAGAGAGGGAAGTGCTGATCAGTAGTCTGCCTCAGCGAGGTAGCGGTGTCCTGTCTTTTATTTGTCTAATATTTCCATAGCTTAACGAACGAAACGTGTTTTTTGTTTTTTTGTTTTTTTTTCTTCAGACTTACGTCTGAGGTACGTGTACTTGCTGATATTTATGGGTGGAGAAATACATGCAGAAAGGAAAAAAAGAACGTGTTACTTAACAATTTATGAACAGATGTGGGTTGGGAAGGACTTAAGATTTGTGCTGGCTCATCTCTTTTCTTGCGAATTCTTGGGGAAAAAAAAGTTAAATAGTGCTGGTTGAGGAAACTTTGCTTTTGGAACACACAGTTCTGGTTGTATCGCAAAAGCAGTGCTGTACAATTGTATTTTTTCTGACTTCCTCCTCATGACAAATCGTTGTGTAATTTTTCCATCTTACGCTACTTGAAAGTTTCCATTGAGGTTGTGTTTTTCTGAAACAGCTCTTAGTATTGGCATAGCTGTTCATATACATTCTTTATAGATGTAGCATCTAAATGTTAAATAATACTAGTACCAGCTCAGAGTCTCTGGTATAAAGATATTTGCAATGAATGCAACACTGAGAGCGACTGGTAAAACAGAATCTTCGTCCTAAACAATTAGAAATGAAGAGCAGTCACAGACGTCTTACTATATGTGTAATCACTGGAATGCACGGAAAAAATTTTGTATAAATCTACTATAGGTGCTACTTTCAACAGTTTTGTAATATATAAAAAGTTGTTGAGAAATTATGTTCTGTGATTCACCAACTGTTTGGAAAGAAATCAGGCGAGATACTTTCTTGGTGTCTGTTGCAATGTACTGCATCTGTTAAGCAAGCAGAGGGGCTGAGTTTTGTATATGTTGATATGTAGGAGAATAGTTTATAGTTCTTCTCTGCATTATGTTGATGATGTTAAGTGGTATCACCAGTAAAGCCAGTTGTGTTTTCCCCATTAAACTCTGAATGAACTTCTTTCTATATCCTGGTGAAGAGACATGTCTGAGCAAATCCTTTTGGCAGTGATGTGTACTACATAGCCGTGTGCTGTCATCCTTTCAGTCTAGAACTATTCACTTATTTCCAGAAGTAGCTCCTTTTTTTTTTTTTTTTTTAATTCCCTTCTTTATTTTTTCTCTCCAGCATATAGATTGACTCAAACAGGTGTTAAAAAATTAAAAATGCCATGGGTAGATATTCTTTCAGGTTTTTTAACTAATGTAGTCATCCTTGTTAGAATAGTTGTTTAATTATTAATTCTAGGTAATATTTTATAAACAGACTTTAAATTAATAAATACTGGATGCTAAAATATTTGCCTTTTCAACTTTTCATATAATGCTTTGCCTGTTCCAATAGATTTTTTTTTTACATCTGCCACATTGTCCTAATATGTCTTATTTTTTTCACAGTCACCAGTTTGTGTTCTTCCAAAAGGCATATTGAGATTGTGAATATTTTATGTAAATTTTCTCTTCTTTCTAATGTTCAGACCATCATTTTCCTATATAACTTGCTGTCTATTACTCTTGATGAGATCAGGCCATTATCTACATTAGAAGAACATAGTGCAGTGGGAATAGATTTGTAAAGGAAAGATTTGATGCTGAAGACCTTAAGTTCATCTTATATATGCTTTAAGAGGGGCTTCTGACTGGCAGTAGTCTGGTCCCATGGAGGGCACTTGTGTTACCAATTGTGATGTGTCAGGTATGCTCTGGAAGCACAGTCTTCCACTTGAGTTTAGTTTGACAGGAATCTGGTTTGCCTGCTCCGAGACCAATCTGGGATGCAAACCAAATCTTTGGAAATGGAGATGATCAGATACGCTGAAGTAGACCACTCACTCCTCTACCCCTACTTTTATGTCTTTTTCACTGGACAGTTGGCACTGCATTGCTGTGTTTTTTCTTTCTTTGCAAGCCCCAGTACTCAACCTGTACCCTGTTTAGTGTCTTAGATTGCGAGAAGTTTACAAATTGCTATTTTAACTGAAAATAGTCATCACCCTTGTTGGATTAGTGGAACAGATAGTGGTGTTCTGTATTGCTGATATACTACTTGTAATACAAAAATGGTTTTCTGAGTTTTACTTCTAACAATGTCAATCATAATCTTCATAAAGTGGGTAACAATATCTAATTTTTTATTCTCCATTTTTATACCTGTTATTTCTACTATTCTACCTTTTGGTTTAGTTCTTTTTATGTTATTAAAACATATTCATGACTAGTGTATAAACATTTTCTAGTATGTTCATGCTCATGGTTATGTTTGTTCTTCAATTTAAGATTATTTTTTTAAAAGGATCCTTAAAGGGGCTTTGTTTATGCCACAGAATATTACCTGATAATAATTGGCTCTGAGATATAAATGATTCAGGCAATTTTGTCTAAAACAATTGTGGGCTCTGTGATTCACTATATTAGGGGTTTTCTTCTAAATAAAAAAAAAAAAAAAAAAACCAAACCAAAACAAAACATAAGATTACTGCTATTTATATTGACAGTAAACACATATCTGTAGAAATGAGGTTGCAGATAACTACTCCTGGTGTAGTTTTCACTGATCAATGTTGTTAATGGTAGTTCAGTTCCTTAATTCTTTTCTTTAAGGATCAAACTGCTAAAACATATGTTTTCAGTAATCTATAAGTACTAGGAAAACTTTGTCAGAAACTTGAGATAAATCTTTCAGATTAAAAGGTCTTGTAAAATGATGTATAGAGACAGAAGATACCACAGTTCTTTGCCCTTTGAAAAAACTTTGAAGTTCTAAAGACATGAGCTCTTTTAGACAGAGAAGATGAAAACAAGATTTACGACAGAATTGTACTGCATCTTGTCTGCAGAACATTAATAAGGGATGAGTATTTCACTTGTTTCACTTGCATCGCTCTTCACATAAGCGAAGAATTACTCAAACAGTTTGATAAATGGTCCAAACATTTTCTTTTGGGTGGTGCCTATTATGTTTACTTTCCAGTGTGAATTATTTACTTTTTAAAAGGATTTAATTTTCTGTAATTTGTTGTATCTTAAAGCCAGTGAGTTCAGAAAATACATAATTCTAGGGCTTTATTTTTTGAAGGCTAATTCTAGGTGCTTGTATGGGATCTATGTTTTTTGTAAAATGCTGAGTCAGTTGATATTTGAAAAATAGTCCCATTCAGCTGTGTCAGCTTGGGCACTTGGAATTTTCACTTATGCGAATTCTGACCCAGTTTTCTGTTCAGTATTAATTTAACATGTACCTTTGCTTATTACATTTGTGCAAATACTTATATTTTTCTTAAAAGATTCCATTTTCTAGGGAACTAGATTTTATTATATATTCAGAGAGAGAGAACAGTGAAACAGTAAGCAGTTTTGAATGCAGTAGTAGGGAACCTAGGTCGTTAACACTGTGTATATTAAATGCTAATAACACTGCTGTGCAGTTCCTCCTGCCAATTCTTTCCTTGTAAATCTCTATAGGATTAGAACTGACAGGAGTTTTTTTCTCAGGGCTGTTCAGAAACCAGGGCCCTAGTAAATATCAACCCTCCTGTGGCTGAAAAAAATTGGGCAGATAGTTCAGGATGGTTTGTTGTGCTTGCTTGCACATGTCTTTGTTGGTGTTTTATCCTGCTGAGAAGGAGAGCTGATATTTAAATCATTATTGGAGGAACATGTTTTTACAAGGAAACGAAAGTTAAGGAGTTGTTAAATTTGATCCTGTCAGTCAGAATATTTCCTTGCCAAATGAATACTCAAGAAAGACAGGTGCACTTCTTGTTGGAAAGTATGTAATGTAACAACAGTGTTTTGGGATAAAATCCTTATCCAAGTAATGGATAAATCAAGTAGTATGAAATCAAATGCACTACTGGATTTAGTAGTGTAACCTTTTATATATCAGAAATGTTAAAAATATTCTAATAGGGTTGACTTTTCATAGTCTATTGAACTTATGTTTGTTCTTGTCTTAGAAATTCAAGAAATAAAACAATACATTTGTGGGAAACCTTATTGTTCCAATGGCCTGACTATTGGTACATGAGTTTTTATACCAGGGTGGGTTCGCTGGGTTTTTGTTCTTTAATGATGTTGACTTGAACTGTTTCATGCAAGGCTTGGATGAGGATACTTCTGTGCTGTGAGTGGAATAAGAAGTGTAGCTACATGGCCACCAGTTCAATCTTAATTAGCAATTGGAGTAAAACTAAAGTGGTGTCCATTAAAAATGTTGATTTAGATGAGTTCTGGTCTCATTGGGAAGGTCCTGTATGGCCTTATTTATTCCTTACAGTATTGTTTCAGTAGTATCCAGAGGCTTTGTTTCAAGGTGGCCCATGATGTGGTTCCCAGTTGTAATAATTCTCAGTGCAAGGGAGACATTTGAAAGGTTGGAATTGACAGTTACAGTTGAATCAGTCTGCTTGGCTTGTTTGTTCTGCATTCACTCTTCAATTCTTTATTATTCAAGTGTTCTTCAGTTCTTGGCAAAGGGTAATGAAGTAGATAAAGTATTTCTTGTGTACTTGTGAAGTATAGTCTTTGGTACCAGTGATTCTAATTTCTGCCCAAGAGTATCCCCATTCACTTACAGTGGAGTTTAGAGCTTTCCACATCTCTTGTCAAAACAATTTTAATTAGTTTTGTTTGTTTTGGTGGTGTTTTTTTTTTTTTTTTGAAAAGGACTTGATTTCTTATCCTTTGATTCAGTGTGTATATAACTTTCTACATGTCTTCCTTGGGGTATATTTTATATTTTACATTTATATAAACCGAAAGTTTCTGCAAATAAGTGAGTATGAGTTGTTCTGTCTGAGATCTAGAGCAGTAACTGCTCTTTAGTTTATGGGTTTTGGTAAAGGAAGCTGGTTACAGCACTAAGCTTATTTCCACCTCAATACAGAAGAAAGTGACTGCAAAGATCGGTTATTAGTGACTTCTTTTCTTCAAGTAATCTCACTAGGGAAACACTTAGCCAGCTTGCTTATTTCCATTCATGTTGCTTGTCTTGGCTTAATCAGGTT